TTTTGCAGCCAAGTATGTGAATTCACATTTATAATTTTACGCAAATCAAGTGTCCTCTAATTTTCCTTTTTTGGTGATTTGTAACCTTGAGCTCTTCCTGATACTGGAGGCAATCATTTTCTCTCAACTTACCTTGCCTTGCAGAATTATTGTAAAGACAACAAGGAGACGTTGTCTTTCTTTCATCTGTCTCTCTTTCTCTCTCTCTCTGGAGAAAATAGCTGAAATCCTGTTTCCGTTTATGCAAATAGTGTAACTTTTGGAAACAAATTAAGAAATCTCCATGGACTTTATCTATTGCACAGTGAACTGTGTGGCTCAGCATGGAAAAGGTAATGCCTACAGAGATTTCTTAATTTACAGCAATTAATATCTGTTATGCCATTTGTGTAACTGCACAATAGGATTTTAGCCAATGTGCGATTAAAAACATTATAAAATTCCTCTGCTTCGTCTCTTTCCTGCGTTTCCCCCCCCCTCGCACCCCACCCTAGCAGGAGAGAATTCAAGTGGTATCTGGAATGCTCTGTTTGCTGGGCAACTGTAAACATTTTCCACTGAGCAATGGAAATATGGGCACATTGTGTTTCTACTACTCCCACAGCTCAAGAATGCCAAGTGCTTTATGCACACGCAAACCTGTCAGGCAAACCAATGCATGAGAAGTCTTGTTTGGTGATGGGCCAAGCTGAAGCAACAAAGCAAGGGACTCTGAGCAGGGACCACACTGATGGCTAAGCTAAATCCCACCTCAGTTTGAACTAAAAACCCCTTACACAACTAGATGTCAACAAGTTGGTCAAGATGCTATGTCCTAATGAGCAGGCATGCCTTGAGATAAGCTGCCTTTTCTTGACTTTGAAAGAAAAAAATGCAGTATAAGAGTATCAGAATAGGATTTAGGAGACCTGGATTAAAATCCTCACTGAGCCACAAAAACTCACAGTGGGGGTGGCAATGGAAATCCAGTCCTTGAAAAGATCAGGTCTCAAAAACCCTATTAGGGCTGCCAGAAGTTAGACGTGACTTGACAGCACATAACAGAAAATAAGCCTAGACTGGTCAAATTCCATAAAGTGTACTGGTTTTTGAACACTCTTTATAGGCAGTGAAGTTTCAGCGCCCTATATAAGGCTCACTAAACCCAGCATAAAACCTATACCAGGCTCTCAGCCAACTATCAAAGATTGCTCTGGAAGCCAATCAGATATTCTGAAAAAACAAGGAAGGCTGGAAGGCTTACTGCACTGCATCAACTTTTAGCTGTATTTTAGGAGTTGCTGGCCACCTTCTCTCCCCCCCATCTCACCACCAGTCGTTCTCACCACACCGCACTCCCTCACCTCTCCAGTGGTGCCCACCACTTCTTCCACAGTCAAAATGGCTGCTGCTATGCTGACTGAGGCTGATGGTGGCTACAGTCCAACAAATCTGAGGGGCATCATGTTAAGGGACATGATTCTAAACCGCTCATGGTTTTATAAACTTCTCCCATCTTTCCTACTACTATCTATCATCTTCCGAGGCTATCTGTAAACCCGAGTCCTCGTTCTGCAGGGCTTTCTGTCCTGAAAAGATCCTTGAAAAGACCGAAAAATTACACATATGCAAGGAACCATTTGTAGAAAGCTCTTTATTTTCTCTTTTAAGTTATTTCCAAAAATGAGTTCATTCTTGTTTCTTTAAGAGGTTTCGATAGTGTTAAACATGGATCCAAAAAGAAAAAAAAATAGAGAGAGGTGGGGGGGGGAAGAGAAAAAGAAGAAATGCAGATAAAAGTCCTTCAGGGGGAAAAAACACACACACTTTCCTCTCATCACCAAGAATCAATAGAGAAAAAGCAAGGGAAAAATGCAGAGCCTTAGAACAGGAATGCCTCTAAGTGCTCTTCTCCCAAACTTCAACCCTCCTGGGGTTATCATCCACAAGGCTGGGCCCCGCTGAAGTTCAAGCATCCTTTCCCACTTACACTTGGTAGCAGGTGGAGTGGGGACATCACCCTCTTTTCCCACTCACATCCAAAGACCGACTGTGTCCTTCTTTGAGTTGTAATCATAAATGCATTCAGTATAGAGTAAGACTACTGAACATAGAGGTACTTACTTCTAAGTAAAGAAGCACATATACCTAGAGGATCGAGAAGGCACCATTATTTCACAGATAGTCTTTGCTTATTCTTTGCCACCCTTCAAATGTGTCAGACGATAATCCCCATTATTTCCCAGCCAGTGTATCCATGCTGGGTAGGAGGATGGGATCTGTAGTCAAACACACCTGAAGGGTACAAAATTGGAGAATGCTGATTCACCTTAGGGTGGGTGGGTATGGTGTGATTTTCTGTTAAAGCCCCATGAGCCACTTCTTGCCAAAAAACAAGAAAATACTAAGTCATCACCAGTTTGTAGAAGGCCCTGCTCCTGGAAAACAACTCTGCATCTTGATTTCTCAAGAGAAAAGAGAGGTGCCTATCAGAATGTGCTCCATTCTGAGGAGGAAAGAAAGGGAAATTGCTACTGTAGATATAAGATTGCCAGACATCACCCAGAACAAGGCTCTTGCACGGAAAAAGTAAGGGGTACTAGGGAAGCTGCAGCTTTCCTTATTGCCGCAGCACTACAGTGGGAGAAGCAGCACTTATTTGAATTCTCCCTTCTCTATACGAACAACTAAAAAGCAAAGTGCTCTGCACCACATGATACCTAGCCACCCTGTGGCCCCATAGAATAGGATGCTGGAAGTTGCCCTCCACAGTTTTCTTGCCACACAGATCTGCCAACTTAACACTGAGAGAGAGCAAAAATGGAAACCAGGCAAACACAGTTTGAGAGGCAGGAAGAAAGGCTTCCGGGCTCCATTAAATACTTCCAGGCAACAGGCAGTTCTGGCTGCTGAAGACAGCTGGGGAGAACCCCCTCCAGTGTTTTTCCTTTGTAAATGCTACACTGGGACATACTCTAGAGTTACAGCAGTGGGTTTTAACATGGCTACTAAAGCTACCCAAAGAGCTGTATGGAAGCAGCCATGTTTTTTAGGCAACAATAAAGCAGCATGTGATTAGAGAGGTAATATGGGTGTCTGTATCCAAGGATCCTCTGCAATATGCAAAAGGCCCACCAGCTGGTGTCCTGTCCCACACTGCACGGAATCCCGAAGTGCCTGCCTCTCCAATTCTGTAGTTAAGCTACTCAGGGCAGTTATGTTTTTTTGGGCCTGCTCTGTAGGACAAGGAGCCCAGGAGTAAACATGGGATTTTTTGAAGTACAAATCCTATAATTCTCCATTTTGGGAGTTCCCACTGACAGAGTCACACCTACAGATGTTTACATGGGGCTCGCCTGGAGAAAAGGCCTAGCTGGGAAGATTTTGTGGCCTAGGATAGGCCCAGCTCCACCCTAGCTTCCTGTGCAGAAAGGAAGCTGCCCCACTGCTAACTAGAATTTTCCTTTCTGAACAGAAAGTGAGGACAAAACTATACCTGTGGAACCTTCCCAGCTAGGACTTTTCTCCAGGTGAGACACATTTAGGTATCTGCAGGTATAAGTCTACAGATACCTGAAAGGAGAACTGTAGGATCTGTAGCCCAGAATGGAGCACTGTGGGATTGGCAGTCCAAAAAAATCCAAAAATCCCATGCCTACCCAAGAGGGTCTTTGTCAAGTGTTACGATAATGGAGTCCCACATACCCCTCCCCTCAATGTTTTCCCTCAGCTCCATCCAGCCTGCCTCTACGTTTCAGATTGTTACATGGACAGGGCTCTGGAGATGGTCAGCAAGATTTTCCATGTCAGGAACATTTGGAGTGCCTGGTCCTCCCGCTGACTCTCTCAGATGGATCCTCTGGTGGTAGATCATGCTGTGTCTCCTCCTGAACCTCACACCACACTCCCCACACTGATACGGTCTCTCTCCGGTATGAATTCGCAGGTGCCGAGTGAGGTGAGACTGTCGACCAAACCTCTTCCCGCATTCGATGCAAGGGTAGGGCCTCTCTCCGGTGTGGGTAATCCGGTGCCGAGTCAGGTGAGATTGCCGGCTAAATGTCTTTCCGCACTCTGCGCAAGGGTAGACCTTGCTCCCCAGGTGGGTTTTCTGGTGTCTGGTGAGGCCATAGAGGTCATGGAATATTTTCCCACACTCCATACACTGGTAGGCTTGCTTTTCAGTGTGGGTCCTCTGATGGGCTGCAAGCTCTGAGGGCCAGATGAAGCCTTTCCCACACTCTGTGCAGAAATAACGTTTCTCCCCCGTGTGGATTCTCTGGTGGGTGGCAAGTTCTGACGGCCAGCGGAAAGCCTTGCCACATTCGCCACAAAGATGGCGTTTCTCAGCCACGTTGGCTCCCAGGTACGGTGGGAGATGAGGCAGCTGGCTGTGGCTATTCCCGCAATCAACGACGATAGGGGAGTTGTCTCCCGTATGGGTTCTCTGGTGAACGGCAAGCTCCGACGGCCACTGGAACCCTTTCCCACACTCTGAGCAGAAGTAGTGTTTGTTTTTGTTGTGGGTTTTCTGGTGAGCAGCCAGCTCAGATGGCCACCGGAACCCTTTCCCGCACTCGGGGCAGAGGTGGGGTTTCTTGACAGTGTGGGGCTTTGCAAAGTCAACAGCCGGAGGGGTTTTCTCACCCATGAAAACATTCCCAAGATGTGTGACGTCTGATGGCCACTGGAATAACATCTCAGAATCCATGGTGAAGTGTTGCTGTTCACCTGCATGGATCCTTTGGTGGATGGCCAGCTCTGTCGACCACCGGAACCTCTTCCCGCATTCAGTACAAAGATGGCATTCCTCACCCATGTGAGTTTTCTGGTGCCGGGTGAGATGGGAAGACCGTCCAAACTGCTTCCCACACTCGGCACAGTGGTAAGATTTTGGCCGAGTATGGACCTTCTGGTGGAGTGCCAGCTCTGACTGGCAGCGGAACCGTTTCCCGCATTCAATGCAGGGGTGGCGTTTCTCTCGCACACGGATCCTCTTGGGAGGTAAGAGCTGTATTGCTCCGTTAAGTCTTTCTCCAAGCTCAAAGTGGGGATCAGCTCTGCTCGGGGTCCTGGCACCTGGTTGGAAGATGGGTCAAGAGAGAAATTTACAAGTTTCATTAGAAGTAATTCAAGAGCAGATCTCAAGTTAAAGTGATGTGATATCTCTTTTACAGCAGGGGTAAGAATTATTAAGACCATATGCTGCCTATCACCTCCAGGATTGGGTTGGTTTTGTTCAATTCTGCAATCTTCCAGGCTCCCTGACCCCCACCCCAACTACCAAAGAAAAGGACAGCAGTGGCAATGTTGACATAGCACTTTGTTTCCTGCCACCCAAAAAGAAACCACAAAAAGGGTCTTTACAAAACCAGAAGTGGACTTCTGGGCACATCCAGTATATTTTTTGAAGGCTGGTGGGGCCCTTAAAGGGTCCTGGGGGTTGAAAATTAACTACTAGACTTCGGAGCTTGCCAACGCTTGTTCTAGGTAATTATGCACTAGGAATTTTTTTTAAAAAACAACCTTATGTAATTGGCATTGTGGAGTATTTTCCTACCCTAATGAGAATTCCAAGATACTGTGGGGTACAAAAACCATCCACAATCTGAGGAATGTGTGTAATTGCTAACTGGGTTTCACCCAAATATCCAGAAATAGAAAACACAGGGTGGAGCAAAATCAAATAATAATAACTTCTCATGTCCCAAAATATTTTCCTTTATCAATACATTAATATTCTCTGTCAATGAAAGGGCATGGTTGGGGCTACCCTACTGATCACCAAAGTAATCCACTTCAGCTTCTCTATATTTTGGTTTGCTAAAAAAGTGCATGAGATGTATTTCTGCCCGAATCAGTTAGTTACATTAGCAAGGACCAAAACAAATTACAAAATCTTATTGACAGGGGGGAAATAATTTTTTGCCCCTGGCTTGATGCTCTTGTTTTTCACTGAAATAAAACTATAAATGAAAAATGGCAACATGGTTCATTACTATGCAAATGGCACGGTAGCTCAGTGAATTAGGGATCTAGCTGAGCCATAGACCAAGTGTTTGATTCCCCATTATGTGTCCCAGAAAAGTTGGCATCTGCAGCCTTGGACAAACTTGCTATACCTAGAAAACCTTTGAAAGGATTATAATAAGTTGGAATTGACTTGATGGCGTGTGATTATTATTAACAGTATCCTTAAATGACTACTCTGAAAGTCTAATTCTGTGCAAACTGTGCAAGAGAAATTGCATCTGAGGGCTGAAAATGTTCCATTCTAATGCACAACAATTCGATCAACTATCTCCTCATTGGAAAACAAGGTGGATTCTAAAGTGAGGTGGCCAAATGCACTGATAATATACACATGTGTTGCAGTAGGACATTTTCAAAGGCACATTCTTCCATCTTAAAATATTCTGAACTGCTTTGGAAAACTCCTGGTTGAAAATAGTTCTTCCATATCCTACTGAGCTAAGCAGGAAGTCCTACTAGTGGAGTAATGCAGAATCACACCACTTACACAAGTAGTTGCAGAAGTGGGGATCTCTATGAAGAAGCCCCATCCTTTCCCTGTGCAAAGGCAATCTTGTGCAACTGGCTCACTCTTGCACCATTCTAATTAGGAAGGCTTTTCACTCAGTGGGAATTCAATAGAATACTCACCTTTAAGATTTGGCTGTGGAATGCAGCTACCTACAACATCTGCTCTGGTTGGCTCAGCATGATTCACTTCAAGGATGACAAAAAAAACCCCTTTTTCTCCATGGCATGAAGGTGGGTCACTAGTGAGCTGGGTACTCATTTTACTGACCTCAGAAGAATGGAAGGCTGAGTCAACCATGAGCTGGCTACCTGAATCCGTAGGGATTGAACTCAGGTTGTGAGCAGAGTTTAACTACTGTACCACAGGGTTCTGACCAACTAGTTTGGTTAACTTTGTTGTTTTGGACTACAAAGTCCCAGAATGCCACAGCTAGCAAAGCCCCTGGCCACTCTGGCTGTGGGCTTCTGAAAATTACAGTTTTAAAAAAGCAACTCTTCCTTAATTCTGTCTCCTACATGTTGGTGTAGAACGCAACAGCCTTGCCTTCTGGACCCACCTGAGTCTCCTTCATCTGCTGAGGAATCCCATGTTGCCTCTGTGTCGGAAGAACCTATGAAGTAAGAACCAGGTCTAGTTGTTAATCTGAAGTATATTTCAAGAAATACAAAAGTTGTGCATCACTAAGACCCCTCTCAACACCCATACACCCACCCAGTGTTCATGATACCTTAGATGGAAAGCTGAATTATGGAACTTATTTCTAAGTTTGATTTGGTGACAAACTATGATCTATATACCATTGGTTCTCAACCTTGTGTTCTTCGATTAAGACTCCCGGAAGCCTTCACTATCAGCTGTGTTGGCCAGGATTTCTGGAAGTTGTAGTCTAAGAACATATGGAAAGCCTAGGATGGCAACCACTGATCTATACAATCCATAGTTTCACTAATTTATTTATTCGTTATTTCATTTCATTTCTGTCCTACCGTTGTCCCAAGCAGCTTACAAAATGGCTAAACACACATACCACTGAAACCACAATTATAGTATTAAAGCACAAGGGAACATTTATTTATTTATTTGTTTGTTTGTTTGTTTGTTTGTTTGTTTGTTTGTTTGTTTGTTTGTTTGTTTGTTTGTTTGTTCGTTCGTTCGTTCGTTCGTTCGTTCGTTCGTTCGTTCGTTCGTTCGTTCGTTCGTTCGTTCGTTCGTTCAAACTGTTTATATCCTGCCTACCTGGTCTTGCAACCACTCTAGGCGGCTTACAAACACATGGCACAACAAATAAATATAAAAAAGAAATTATTACATCAAATATATTAAAAAAGATTACTAGCCTAAAACACTTAAAAGCAATCTAAAAGTACAAAGCATGCAGCCTCCTCCATTACAACTCTGCTGTAATTCACAATCTGCTCAGCTGCCTAAAGGCTGCCTGAAAAACAAGCATTTTTGGGTCCTAGTGGAAGGACATCAAGGAGGGGGGTTAATACAGCTTCTGGTGGAAGGGGGTTCCATAGCCTGAGACCAACTAGCAAAAATGCACTCTTTTGCATCATCACTTGTGAGGGTGGAAGAGTGGAGATCTAGGCTTCTCCTTAAGATAAAAAGCTGGGGAGGCGAATTTGGCAAGTCTTTGCTCAGTCACACAGACAAAAAAATCTCCCAATTTTGATAGCAGACGATGACAATGCTTGTGCTTCCTCCTTGTTATTAAGGGGAATTTCAAGTTTGCGGCAGATGTTCAGTGATGGGTGAGCAAACAGTTCAGAGCAGATTCAGGGGAGGACGCCCTGAACTCATCACCAATGTAGTCTGACCCTGCTTTAATCCATGATTTGTCAATGAATCCTCTGATCTATGCCAATGTGCATTTTAGCCTAATACTGTATTTTAAATAAGCTTGGATTAACTTCTATTATGTCATATCCTTAAACCTGTGATGGAAATAAAGGTACACTACACATAGGAAAATAAGCAAACAAAGGCCTTAGAGCAACAAAATAAAAACAGTCAAGCAAGTGGGAACAGGAAACAAAAATCTCACCTAGCAAACAGATATCCACATCACCCCTCTGTTCTGCCTCCAAGCTCACGTCTCCCTGTTCAGTATCCGACAGAGGCTGGTCTTCATCAGGAAAAGTTACCACCACTTCCTCAAAGAGGTCCGAATCCTGAAATAGCAACCAAAGAGTCACGCTCAATGAAGGAGTGAAGAATGATCCACTAATTATGAAATTAAATTAAAGAGATACTAAATTAAGACTTGAAGATGTGCGCTCTTTTTGTATACATGTTCTGGTGGATTTAAAAAGACATAGTCCAAATAAGTCATATTTCCAAGCTTAGGAGCTAACCAACAACAACCAGTTTATTTAGTAATATTCTTTTATTGTGTCTTTCAGAGATACTGGCCTGGAAATGGGTCCAGAGCTGAATGTGTACTGCATTCCAGCTGATTCACAAAACAGGATTAAAGCAATAGTGTAAGTAGTAAGGACTGAAATTTTGGAAATGGTACATTTGATGGGGACATGGGAAAGGACCTTCTCTGTCACTCCACCCAGACTCTGGAACTCCCTCCCACAGAAGGCCAGGCTGGCACCATCTTTTCTGTCCTTCCGCAAGCAAAGACCTTTATCTTCAGACAAGCCTTCTCTTAAGGTATGAAAGGGGTTTTTAAATGGAGTGTTGTACCTTGTTTCTTTGATTGTGTTTTTTGTGCAATTTTGTTTACCATTTTTAGTGTCCTTATTTGTTTGATTCTTTTAAAAATATTTATATACTCACTGTTTTTAGCTTTTAAATATTATCTTTTAAAGATGCAGGCTACCTTGGGTCCTTTTTATGGAGACAGGTGGTAAATAAATGAATGAATGAATGAATGAGGTCCTTTTTATGGAGAAAGGTGGTAAATGAATGAATGAATGAATGAATGAATGAATGAATGAATGAATGAATGAATGAATGAATGAATGAATGATGCTGCATTAGGCTCCCTATTCTGTGTCTCATGATGACAAATTATAATTCCAGAAATTCTTTCACAGACACCTAGAAACAAAAATATTTTTATGGCTGCTTTCCCATCCAGTTCCCCATCATTCAAGGAAAAGAAAAAAAAAGCCTCCAGTAAAATCATATCAGTTGTGCTCTTTCGACCAATCACATAAACAATTAATGCAAATGCAGTTTCAGATCACAATCTGATTTTCCACAAGGAGTGCCTGTCTGGCAAAAGCCAAGCCTAGGATTACTCTATATACCTTGAGCTGAGAGAGTGGGCATTTTGTCCATTGTGTTGGCTTGCAGGGAATGTCAGATGGCCAGCTGCTAAGACAGTGGAGGAACCTTTTGTTTCCTAGGCTGCAGGACTACAATTCCCAGAAGCCTTTGTGCTGCTCTCTCTCTAAACCCACGGCAAGCAGCAGGTGCAAAGATCCTCTGCGGTTTGGTTCATAGTCAGCCATTTAGTCTTTGTAGGAGACCAGCAGGACAGAAATGGAATGAGGTGAGAACTAGAAACCTGTGAGGGGCCCAGAGACTATGGCAACTCCTCAGGCTGCAAAACATCTTGGGTCAGTCCTGTAAGTCAAGAATTGTTCGTTGCCATTTAACGGGAAGCCAAGATTTCTCCAACCCAGCTGAGACCCTGGAATACTGAGGGTGGCGATGGAAGGAAGACTGCCACCAGCTCTTGGGGTTAAAAAGTACAAGAGAGGACGAGTAGGGCCAACTCTGCCCAAAGTCACTCGCAGCCTTTGACCTAGATTCCTCACCCCCTGGAATCCCAGCTATTTGTAAGGACTCGGTTGTTAAGGAAGGCACACAGCTGCCCCTGGACATTTTGCTTAATCAGCTGCTATTTTCTGGGCTCTGGACGAATCTAGGGCTAAAAAAAAATACCAACACCCTCCACTTCGAGAATTCTATGGCCATCTTGGCTAGAGAATTCTATGGCCATCTTGGCTAGGGAATTCTGCCAGCTGTCCTCCTAAAGAGTAACTTTTCCAAGGTGGCGACGAAACAGTGGATGTTGTGTCAATCTTTTCACACAACCGGACTTCTGAGAAGAGTTGTGAAGGGGAGGAAGAGTAACAGATACGGTGGTCTGTACTGTTTTTGAAGGCAATCATACATCTTTCTGCATGGCTAATTCTGGATTTGTGCTTGTGTGTGTGTGTGGGGGGGGGGAATCAACAACTGCACCAGCTGAAAGTTACAGCAGGAAACACATATGTGCAGGATGGATAAAAGTCAATGATTTGTTTCTTTAAAATTTTGTTTTAAAGCATGATTTAAATCACAATTTAAAAAAATTAATCAATTTTTAATTTAAATATTCAAAAAATCTGATTTTTAAAATTTAAATCATGATTTAAATCAATGTGATTTAAAATTGTATTAATGTTTCAGTTACTTCTTTTATTCCACACTTATGCAGGATGGATTTGAATTTTATTGAAGAGCATACAATAAAAGAAGTACTGTAACTGAAACATTAATATAATTTTTAGAAATCCAGCATCAAACATACTAAACAACAAAAATAATGCTGATGGTTTAGTGGCAGAGCCCATACTCAGCATACAGAAATTCTCATGTTCACTCATATCTCCATCTTTAAGAAAGAAACAGGTACAGCAGTGGTACCTGTCAGCATAGCCAGTACAGGGCGAGATGCAAAATAATCTTATATCTGGTGTGAGGCTTCTTCCTACGTTCCAAGAAGAATGCAACTCATTAAACTACATCAAAAAACAGAAATGACAACTAGTGTTGTGTTTGAATTTCTAGGATGAAGCTTCTGCTGCTACTGACATAAAAGAGACCTTCGCTTCTGTAATGTTGTGGTCTAGTTACACATATAATACACAATAGGAAGCAGGAAGAGTAGCCCAGCAAAGAAATATTGTGTGTCTTAGGTGTGAGTGTAATTCTAGAAGATTACAGTAGGACCCCCTTATCCACAGGATCAGTATCCACCGATTCACTTATCCCGTCTGAAAATATTAAAAATATTAAAAGAAAAATCCTAGAAATATATGTTAGAAGATGAAGTTACCAGAACTGGCCACTAGAGTGAGCTAGAGACTATGCTATGTATAGCGTTTCCTATAATCCACATTTTTCAGCATCTGCAGGGGAGGGGGGCCTTGGAACTGATCCCCCATGGATACAGAGGTCGTACTCTTATTTGATTTCCATGCAGGTAGATAAATAATGAGGACATTCTACCAAACCAAAATAGTCCTGGTTTCTCAGATCAAAGAGCCATCAGCACAGGCAAACTATATCCTCCAACAGCCACTTTAGGAGACTAGGAATGTTACATCTATCCTAAGCCTGCTAGTGGTATTCCCAAGGTGCCACTAAACAAAAAGCTTGGAAAAGTTCCTTTTTCCCCCCTTCTTCCTTTTTTGGTTCTACTGCCTCTTGAATGCCCCCAGCCACGTGGCTAAGGGGTTCTGTGAGGTATAGTCCAAAAAACTTAAAAGTTTTGTAAATTTTCATAAAGATCTGTTTATGGAGGCATTGACCGGTTTTTATTTGCACCATAAATTAAATGTAAGATAGATCTTTCAGCAAGGCAATTAACGTGGATTATACCACTTCAAACTGGGAGAGAGATCAAATATTTGAGTATTCCCTCACATAGAAGAGAAAAATCGTGCAAACATGGTGGGAGAAAGAACACAGGAGGAAATGTGCTTGGTTAGAAACTTTTTTTTTTCATGTGTTCAGTTTTTTGTTTCTCTTTTTACTTCCAGGAAGCCTGGGACTAGGGAAAGTATACAAAAATGGGATTCCATACCATCTTCAGCTGCCACAACACAGCACCACATTTATCAGCGGAAGAGTCTGTAATTTATTTTGCATGATATCTTATTAGATAAGGAGGAATCAGAAAGAGGAACGGTTTCAAAATGTTCAAACCATAGAATAAAAAACTGATCCAATAACCATGTGGTCTAGATAAACTGTTGTATCCCAATAATCTTATTAAAGGCCTGGTATCCTAAACCTGCCAGAGAGAAAATTCATTCTGCCACAGCTCAGAGGCATTCTCTTCCCTCTGCGTTTATCTTTTATGGCTCCACCGATGCTTCGCAAGACGATTTTTTTCCACCATTGGAACGCATTAAATAGATTTCAATGCATTTCAATGGGGAACCGCGTTTTGCAAGACAATGTTTTCTATGGACGATTTTCAGAAGACAACGATTTTCCCCCCTATTGGAACTCATTAAATAGATTTCAATGCACTATTGGAACTCATTAAATTGATTTCAATGCATTCCAATGGGGAACTGCGTTTTGCAGAACAATGTTTTCACAAGACAGAGATTTTCTCGGAACCAATTAACATTGTCTTGCAAGGCACCACTGTATTTGAGCCTCAGCTTCAGGATCTGTCCTTCCAGTGAACACTCAGGGTTGATTTCCTCCATAGTGGATAGGTTTGTTCTCTTTGCAGTCCAGGGGACTCTCAAGAGTTTCCTCCAGCACTACAATTCAAAAGCATCAACTCTTCGGTGGTCAGGCCTTCTTTATGGTCCAGCTCTCACTTCCACACATCACTACTGAAAAAAACATAGCTTTGACTATGCGGAACTTTGTCGGCAAGGTGATGTCTCTGCTTTTTAAGATGCTGTCCAGGTTTGTCATCGCTTTCCTCCCAAGAAGCAGGTG